GTGTCTTCAAGATTTCGATTGGGGAATCCCCTGATCCAGCAGCGCTGCTCCTTCAATAAATGTCTCTCCTGAAACCTCCAGGGATAACATTTAGCTTTGCCGCCAGGATGACACAACAAGGATGACACAACAAAAATACCGGGAAGCACAATATGGGGGTGGGGAGGGAGGGAGAGAGAGAGAGAGAGAGAGAGAGCTCCAAAATAGTGGTTTCCAAAGTTGTTTTATGCACTGAAAATAACAGGAGGAGAGGTCAACGGATGGCTTGAAATCCATGGCTGATAGATGGGGGAGTAGGGACAAACCAACGCAGACGAAACCTCTGGGGTTGGACAAAAAACAAAAACTATTGAGCTGAGTGCAGGACACTTCATAGTCAACCATTCACACAACCACAAGAACACAGGCACTTCTGCTCCGAGCCAGGGTGACGGGGCTGCACCCTGAGGGGAACGGAGAAACAGAACTTCAAAGGGACAAGGACATTTCACAACTACCTCATCTCATACAGAAAAGAACAGAAGCCTGCATCTGCATGCAAATGAATCTTTGTCAGGGAAGAGATTGCCCTAGGACACGACCAACCACTACAAACTCCTTTCCAATTCAAGGGTTGGCTTTTCAGGCCATCCAGACCAGGGACTTCTGCTCTCTTCCCTTGCTGAGGCCGCAGCGCAGCACTTCCCTGAGTGACTCATGCAAACCTGGAAACAGGACATTCAACACATCCAGGAATCAACAGACCACAAGCACCCCATCTGCTTTCTCCTACTACAAACTCTTCAACACACTTCCACGGCATCACGGACTCCAGCTCAACACTCAATCCTGGGATTTGTTAACGTAAAAACACCATTGAAACCTGTCAAGAATTTTTGTGAGTTTATTTGAGCCAAACTGTCGACACATGCCGGGAAGCAAAACCTCAATGAATTGAGATAATGCTCCGGAGAATGGCGGGGTTACATTTGTATTTATACATTTGCAATCAAAGGAGGGACATAGGTGGGTTACATGAAATTCATTGGTGATAGATTAAGGAGGAGGGATAAAGCAAAGCAGAGAAACCCCTGGGATTGGATAAAAAGTAAAATGGTGGGCGCAGGAACAATTAACATGATAATAATGAAGGAATTTGTGGTATCTGTCCTGGGGCCCAGCACATTTGGTTGTGCTCCAGGGGCTCCAGATACAGGGAAGTCACAAGTTACCCCGACATTTCAAGGGTATGTTATCATAGATGCAAAAAGACAGACAGGCTCAGTGAAGGTAAAGGTTGACCTTGTCAGTGAAGATACTGGCCTAGGACGTAACTGCCCACCATAACTGCTTTTAATTAAAGTTTAATTTCAGACCATCCTTTGTGGTGACTTTAGGTCTCTGAGTTTGCAAGACCGCCATGCAGGCCTCCCCTGAGCTGTCAGGTCAGCATGTGGCCCCTTTCGTCCACAGATTCAAACCACATCCAGGGGGGAGGGGGATTGGCCATGGGGGATGCCAGCTTTTCCGATGGCAGCAACCAATTCATTGCACAAAGCTTACATCCACCACCCACCCCATCAGAGGTACTCACCCAAGATGCTCAAACACCTGGGCAGGCGTGGGCTCACAAAGTCAAGCCTGCACGGACACAGGGGCACAGCTGGGGGGGGGGGGCACCAACCCTCCCTCCTCACATGGCCGAGGGACCTCACCCCCCAACGCCATCCATCCTCCCAGGAAAACACCTTCACATGCTTCACATAGAAAATCCCATCATCTTCTCCATCACTCACACACCAAGCCTCTGCCACCTCACACATCACACAATTGCATGGCCCAGCTACAAACGAAACCTCCACAAAAGGGGCTCCTCACAACACTGGGGACTGCTGGCCTCGCTTCCAACACACTTGCCTGGCGGGGGGGAGCAAAAAAACACACAGCACAATGGACAGGGGAGCCGCGGGCCTCAGGGCACATGACAAATAGGAAGACACCTTTTCCCTTAGCACCAGCTAAGCTGGGACACGGTCACAGTCAAGCAGCAATTTCAGGTGGGGGATAGAGCCAGCCTTAGGCATTTGGGACAATTGGGGTACAAGGAAAAAAGACAGGGACACACACTGGGAGAAGGGACATTGCCACAACACAAGCAAGCCAGGGGCGCTCACGTCTCCAGAACACAAGGGAGCACCAACACTCGCATTTTGCATAACACAAACGAAATGCAAATGGCCCACAAAGGTCAATATTTACAAAATAAAAACAAGGAAGCCCTGCTTTCAGGTGCAAAAGAAGAAAGCCCACAGGGAACGAGGGGGGACAACCTCACGAGGCCCACGGGAGGGTCAACCTTGGAGCCCAGGACTTACTAGGGGAACCAACTCCAAGGGGAATATGGACCCAGCAGAGGGAATAGCAGGCACCACGATCTGCACCCTTGACAGGACATACGGAAAGGAACCCAGTGGGACCCTTTTCACTCTCCCTACGTGGCAGTCTGGACTTGATCTTCAAGACATCTCCACCCTTACTACAACACTTTCTGTCCGGGAATTCATTCTGCAATTCCGGCAGAAAAAAAATACGGGTTCCAGTACAAAAAGGACAGAGCCACGGGATCACCCTCCCCCACCTTATAACACCCGCTACCAAGGGCACCTCTGCCCTCAGAGCCCACTCAGGAGCCTCACATCGTGCAGGGAGGACAAGCCAATCTCTCCATCACACACACACACATTCCTCCTCAGCTAGGTCTTGGCTCCACCTGCTGGACAAGCAGGGACAGGCCTTTCCAAATGCAATCCTCTCACCAACACGGGCAGACACACATGGGTTCCCACCTTCCTGGGAGGAAGTTTACAAGACTAGGATGCTCTCCTCCCTCCACACTTCCATTCCAAGGAACATCTTTTCACTCGGAATGCCTGTGGTTTTTTAAAAAATCTTATTTCTGTAGTGTCATATTCGCACAAGGAGTGAGTGGAAGAAAAAAAAACAGTACAAACCTTTCACTTTCAACAAAGATCGCTTCTCTTTCCTCAGCAGATTTCAAACACAGTGAACTTGGCATGACAACTTCAAAGGATTCACATTCTGAAACGAGGATGCACTGCTTGATGCTGATCACATTCACATTTACAATACGGCAAATAACACCACAATCCTACTTTATTGCATGGCCACTCCAACAGGAATGCCTATAAATGCCACGTGCTCAAAACAGCCCCAGGAAGGCATCTTTATTTCCGCTTACGGTGCCTGGGAATGGTTGCAAATGGACATCTTTCACAGGGAAGACGAGCACTAGCCCATGCTGCTCGCTGCATCAGCTTCACAGATACACCTGCTACAACCAACACTCTCTGCTTTCTGTCAAAAGGCCACAAAATCAGCAGCTTCGACACGGTCAGAGAGTCGCCTCACAGGGAACCTCAGGGCACCCGTCTCCAGGACGCCCCTTCAAAGGGCTGCAGGGGGTGCACAGCCCACAGCCAGAACAGTGACTTCAGGGAATTCTCTAGCATCAAGGGTTCTCTCTCAGCACGGATATTTCTCTCTCCCCCCCTCCCTCCCTCCCTCCCGCCCTCCCTCCCTCCCTCCCTCCCTCTCTCTCACTTCCTTTCTAAAATAATACAAATAACTTCCTACCTAAATAAAAACATTGCTTCTGTAACAAGCCATTCAGCACAATCTTTTTCTCCTGCTACTAACACGTTCCCATTACAAAAAATGGCTCCCCCACGCTCAGGCCAAGCTCCCCGGGCTGGGCCCAGGGATGAAGCTGGCAGCCACATAATTCAAGAGTAACTCACCTTTTTTCCTTAAATATGTATTTTCATATTTTCTTAATCCTCAACAGGAGTGAGAATATTTTTCCCATTGATTTTTAGGGAGTGGAAGGGAGGAGTGAGGAAGGGGAGAAGAGAGAGAAAGAAGCAGGAGGGAAACATCGACATGACAGAGACACATCTACTGGTTGCCTCCCACAGGTGCCCTCACTGGGGATGGGATCAGACCTGCAACCCAGGTAAGTACCCTTGTCTGTGAATCAAACCTGCAAGCCTCTGGTGCATAGGACTGTTAGGTTAGGTGGTTCAGGAGGCGGCGCAAGAAATAGAGAGTCCAGTGAATCAGAAAAGAAAGGAAAGGAAAAGGTTTATTTCTGCGTCCCCGGGAGACCCACGTACCCCCAAAGACAGGGCACGTGGATTCACGCCAACAGGGAGGGGGTGCTTTTTTTATACTGCAGTTGGGTGAGGGGCGGGGACATGAGCTGAGGTATTCAGTTGAGGAAGTTTCAGCTGCAGGGGGGTCAGCAAGGTATTCAGGAATGAGTCAGCATCTGTGTGGGGGTATGTGGATTCAGGGAGAAGAAGCCGTATCTGTGTCTGGCACGTTGATCTGTGAGAAATTCCAGAGGAAGTCCATTGTCTCATCACATGTCTGCATGTATCCGATCCTGGGCTCTCTCCGACCTAACATCCCGGCCTTTTGGTGATAAGGGATGGCGACTCTTTCTGACTGCTTCCAGCTGAACATGGACGACGAGGGGGGGTGGTGGTTAAAGGTCAGGGTTAGGCAGAGGCAGGTCGGAGGGGAGCCGAGTGTAGGGATGGAGCAGGAGCTGATTCACAGGCACCAGTGACATCTCCGTGATCCGGGAGCAGATGAACTTGAGGAGGCAGGGGGCTAGGAGAAAAAAGACACAGATGAGAATCAGGGGCCCTATCATGGGTAGGACCCAGGTAGCTAAGGGGCTTTGGAACCAGCTGGAAGGAGAGTTGTCCTGGAAGTGTCGTGCATGTAGTTCTTCACTCAGCTTAGTCAGGGTCTGTATGTTTTGCTCCACTACTCCAGACTCGATGTCGTTAACAGCATTCTTCCTGAAGGAATATGCAGGTTCCTCCTCTTTCTGCAGTCAGAAGGTCTAAGGCGCACTGGTTCTGCAGGGCTACTTGGGCTATTGATGTTATCTGTCGCTGTAGGGAAGCTAAAGAAGGAGTAGTGGACTCGAGGGCTAACTGGAGCTTGTCATTAAAGTCCTGAGCAGTGACCAGACTGTTCCAGAGGGCCCCCCCATGAGGCCTACTGAGGCAGTGATACTCACCCCTAACATGACAGGGAGGAAGACAGCCTGGCAGGTCCGGGGGTGGGATGGAGGGAGCAGCCAGGCGAGCTCCAACTCTCCATACAAGGTTAGTTCGGAACTACCGTGACCACGAAGCAAGGCCCGGGGTCAGAGGAGTTCATGCAGTTGCTTAAGGTGCCGTTGCACCAAAAGAAGGTACCTGGGCTGGCCTTGGTGAGGCTGGATGCGGTGTGGTTTCAGGTACAGTTCTAAATGACCTGTCCCCCAGTTACCGGATTACTGATCTGGTAGCATATCCATGGGGGCAGGGTGGGCTCTGGAGTTTCGGGTTCCCAAAGGGGAATGCCAGCCACGGGAGGCTGACATTCACCTTTCCCTTGGGTTCTTGGAGAAGTCATGAGTGGGACGGCAGCCAGCAAAGACCTGTCTGGGTTTTGCTGCCGGGTGACTTGTTTGCCATTCTGATAGTAGGTTTCACGGACCTTGAACCTCCACACAAGAGGGTGGGTGTGTGTGTAGGTTGCTCAGGGCCTGGAGGAGAAGGAGGAGGGGAGGGCGGTTAAGGCAGACGTTAGTGGGGCCCAATACATCACATTTATAGAAGTGTTGCTGCTCCGGGGTCCTCTTGAGTCTGGAGAGGCGGTGCCAGGACAGGTCTCTGGAGAGGCGGTGCCAGGACAGGTCGTCAAGCTGGGGTCACCAAGCAGCTTGGCCACAGTGGGGGCTGTGAGGATTACAGTGTGAAGTCCCGTCCACCTAGGCTCCAAGGCTTGTGGATGTAGGTTCTTAAGGAGGACCGAGTCACCAGGGTGAAGGGCTGGTCCTGGGAGTCCTGGGAGTCCTGGTCGGTCGGCTCTGGCTTGGGCAGAAACCTGTTCTCGTGTTCTCGGAGCAATTGCCTGATTAAAGACAGATATGGGAGATACGTACCCAGGGGAGGGGGATCAGTAAGGAGACAGTGGTTGAGCAAGAAGGGTCAAAAGGGCTCAGGAAAGTGGGGCTCCTTGGTGTAGCCCGGACTTCTGGTCAAGGCCATGGGCAGGAGGTCCGGTCAGGAGCTGTGAATTTCTAGAGAGAGTTTAGTTAGATGGTCCAATAGGTTGGAATTGAATGGCTATGATGAGGGTTCGAGCCAGTGACAGACGAATCCAGCAGGATGTAGAGGAGGGATTGATGTTTGAGAGTAGATGGAAAGTTGTGTTGATGAGTGTGGGCATAGGAGTAGGTCCAGGGTTCGTAAATAGAGAGTGACACTAGAGGATTTCCCATCCCAGACAGTAGAATTGATGACTCCCTCATCATTCCGTATCTGTTTCCCCTGAAAATATGAAAAACCTGAGCAAAATTGGAGGATCGCTTGCCAGGTAAGAGCCTGTGAGGAATGATGGGTCATCCAGTCCTGGATGATGTCGCCGAATCTTCTTCGGGGATGGTGGGAGGCACTCGGTGAGCCTGAGAGAGGTAGGTATTGCAGTGAAAGTGGGAGGAAATGTTAGAATATGCTGTTATCCAAGGGAAAATGGAAGGAGCAGTGGAAGCCAGGGACCTGGAGGCTGGAGAAAAGGCGGGGAGGGAGGGAGCAGGTCACGCAGCCTGTTCCCAGGCCTCTAGCCGCTTGGATTTTAAAACTGCCGAATTTTTTCCTTTGGGAAGGGTGGAGGGGGACTGGTCGATATCAGAGCAGTTTTCAGTTCAGAGGAGGGGACAGTGTGGAGGAGATAAAGAGATAAGGCGGAGACTGAGCTAGGGGGAGACTGAGCTAGGCGACTATGGTCTGGGACAACTGGGCCCCATGACGGACGCATGGCAGTGGTGTCCCTGTAAAGGGAGGGGGCCAGGAGTGGAAGGAGCAGGGAAGCTGGAGTGGGGAGGCTGAAGGGCAGAGTGGCCGCTAGGATGGTGAGGATATCTCGTCCTAACAGGGGCACGGGGCATGAAGGCATGACTAAGAATGAGTGGGTTATAGGGCTATGATGGAGGCAAGGAAGGGGTCCGGTGGCCAGAGGGCAGGTGGATTTGCCGTCAATACCCATGTCCGAGATCTTGGAAGGATAAAGGGGCCCTAAAAAGGAGGGCAGGACAGAAAAGGCAGCCCCCGTATCG